GCGTGCATGCATGTTCTCTCTCTCTCTCTCTCTCTCAAAATAAATCAATAAACTTAAATGCACACATATATATTTACTTATATATGTGTGTGTGCTGCAGCCCTAGAAAATATCAAAGTACTGTTAAGAGGCCAGAATTTGTTAAAGACACAAAGCAGAAAAGACTGAATTGAGAGAAAAGTCAGTCAATATTGACCATCTTGTGATTCTACTCAGGCAAAGGAAAGGTTGGCCTAGGAAGTAAAGGGCTGTGTTTCTCCAGTACAGCCCCAGAGGCTGCCAAGTTCAGAGTCAGAGGGGCTGGAAACAGGCCTGAGGACAGTCAATGGGGAAAGGAAAATGAAAGAATGTGGGTTTCTCCCTAGAACCGCAGTCTGGCTGGCTGTTCACTTACAACTGCACATGGTCCCAATGAAGCCCAGGTAAAATGGGAACTTGATCTCCATGTTCCTAACACAAGCAGTAGAATTGGAAAGGTCAGGAATTCTCACACATTTTTAACCATAGCTGACTTAAACTGGCGCACACACACACACATACACACACACACCCAGAAACTCATTCTCCCAAATTTTCCGACTAATTCAAAAGACTCTAAAGTTCATCTTGAAAAATAAAACATGTGCAAACAGCTAGAAAAGCCCTAAAAACAAGTATATTGGCAGGTGGAGGCAGAGTTGAGGACCTGTACAACCAGATGTTGAAATGTTCTGTAAAGTCATAATAATTCAGATAGTGTAGGAGGGGCACCAGACTAGAAAGATCGATGAACCAAAGGATCAGAAGCAGCCCAAGCACACGCAAGTCTAATGCATGATTTGGTCTGATGCACAAATGATAAAAATGAATGATTACTCATAAGTGGTTCTGGAACAACAGAAAACAGAAAAACACAACAGTGGTTTTCACCACCTGAAAAAAGTATGGTCCTCCCATGTCACATCAAAACAAATGCTTCTTTATGTTTTCATAAAAAATTTTAAATGTTTATTTATTTTTGAGAGAGAGAGGGTGAAGAGCAGAGAGAGAGGGAGACAGAGGATCTGAAATGGGCTTTGCACGAGAGCCCAGTGTGGGACTCGAACTCACAAACCGCAGGATCATAATCTGAGCTGAAGTCGGACACTTAACTGACTGAGCAACCCAGGTGCCCCAGAACAAATGCTTTTTAAATATACAAAAATGAAGGGTAACTTCCTTTGCAGATATGGAGTTTTTACAAACCAATAAAAACAACATAAAATGAAGAGGCAAGTCATAAAAGAAATGCCAAAGTCCAATAAAGTCATGGGAAGATATTCCGCCTCATTAAAGACATGAAAACTTACTGTACAAAAATGAACTCAAAATGGATAAAAAACTAAAAGGTATGAGCTACATACCTTTTAGTACATAAAATTTTAGAAGCATTTAGCATATAAAAAGATTTTAGCATGTAAAATTTTTAAAAGAAAACACAGGTGTAAATCTTCATGACCTAGGATTAGGTGATTATTTCTTAGATAAGACACCTTTAAGCACAAACAGTGAAAGAATAAACAGATAAATAAATAAAAAACCTTTGCACTTCCAAAAGACACCATCAGAAAATTAAAGAAAGGGGCACCTGGGTGGCTCAGTCAGTTAAGCACCCAACTTCGGCTCAGGTCATGATCTCACAATTCATGAGTTCAAGGCCCACGTCGGGCTTGGTGCTGACAGCTCAGAGCCTGGAGCCTGCTTTGCATTCTGTGTCTCCCTCTCTCGCCTCCCCTCCCCTGCTCATGCTCTGTCTGTCTGTCTCTCTCTCTCAAAAATAAATAATAAACATTTTTAAAAAGTTAAAAAAAAAAAAAAAGAAAGTAAAGAGACAACTCATTCACCAGGAAAACTTTTTGCAAATTGTTATCTCTAATGAGGGATTTGTGTCCAGATTATATAAAGAACTAATACAACTCAATAACAAAAAGATAACCCAATTTTAAAATGGGTGAAGGATCTGAAAGATATTTCTCCAGGGAAGACGACCAATGGCCAAGAAGTACGTAAAAAACATTCAGCATCATTAGCCGTCAGGGAAATGCAAATCGAAACCACAAGGAGATACCACGTCACACCTACTAGGAGGGTTATAATCAAAGAGGCAGATAATAACAGTGTTGAGGAAGCTGTGGAGAAACTGGAACCTTCATACACTGCTGGTGGGAACGCAAAATGATGCAGCCATTTTGGAAGACAGCCTGGCAGTTTCTTACAAGATTAAATATACAGTTACATATGATTCAGCAATGACACTCCCACGTATACACCCAAGAAAAATGAGACCACACAAAAACCTGCACACGAATGTTCACAGCCACGTTACTCATAGTAGCCAATAAGCGGAAATAACTCTAACATCCATCAAATGTGAGCAGGTAGACTAAAAGTGACAGGTCCATACAATGTAATATTATTCGAAAATAAAAAGTAATGAAGTCCTGACAAGTCCCTCAACACAGATTAGCCTTGAAAACATTATGCAGAGTGAGAAAAATCTAGTCACAAAAGACGATATACTGTACGACTCTACTTTATACGAAATGTGCAGAATAGACAAATTTATAGAGACAGAGAGATTAGTGGTTGCCAGGTGCTGGAAAAGACAAGTTTAGGAGTTACAAGCAAGGAGAGGGAGGTTTCTTTTGGGATGATGAAAAGGCTCTAAGGTTGATCATGCTAGTGGTTGCACAACTCTGTATACTAAATATATTAAATATTGATATACAAATATGCTAAATACTAATACTAAATATACTAAAAGCCCTTGACTTGTATATTTTAAATGGGCAAATTGTATGGTGTAGGAATTATATCTTAATAAACCCGTTTTTTAGATTAAAAAAATGAAAATATAAACAATAGTTATGTTGCATGTCTACTAGGTCTCTATTTGACAACAAACTTTCTAGGCAGGGTCCCTTGTCCATCTTATAACCCCTGACCTCCCCCACAGTACTTACCAGGCCTAGTAAAAGACTAACACAAAGTCGATGCTTAATAACAGATAGACGCTTTCTAGTCACGTTGCTGGAGGATGACTTCTGAAGGGGAAAACAAGAATTTGTTTCCAGTTCGACTTTCATGTTTGAGTTACAGATGCCTTCCTATATTATATCTCTCTCCACCCCAAACATGTACCAAGAATTTATGAATAAATTTATGTCTCCATTTGCTTCTAGAGTACTTTCCTACTCATTGTTTCTACCCTGACCACAGGAAACCATACTCAAAGATACTCATTCCCCAGGCATTCTGGAGACTTCCATCCTCTTTCAGTTCTGGCTTCAGGGTCGATGCATGAGTGCTACCGGCAGGTGTCTCTGTCTAACCAAACTTCAAATACACTAGCTGCCAGCAGGTGGAGCATAATTCCCCCTCAGGCACAGTGTGAGCTAAACATAAAGAACGACTGACTTCCTTCCTAACAGTACAGCATGGAACAGGAGAGAAAAAAAGAGTAACCGTATAGTGGAGAAACCTGACAAGCACTATGTCAAATAAGGTGATCGAGGTTAATACCAACAGTGATAAATATTGCTGATAGCATGTACCTTTCGTATGATGTGATGAGAATGGCACTTCCCCTGCCCCCAGCAAAACACATTACCCTAAGTTTAATCATGAGGAAAACATCAGACAAATCTCAAATGAGGGACATTCCACAAAACGCCTGACAGTTTTGAGTATTGTCAAAGCCATAGAAAATAAGGAAAGCCTGAGAAAGTATCACAACCAAGAAGAACCTACGGAGCTATGACAGCTAAAAGGAAGGTGGCATCCTAGATGGGATCCTGGAACCGATAAAGGACATTAGGCAAAACTGAGGAAATCTGAATAAAGGACTTTTAGTCAGTAATCACGAATCCTTACTGGTTCGTTAATTGTGACAAATGTGCCATACTAATGTAAAACGTTAGGCAAAGGCAGGTGTGGGCTATATGAGAATCCACTACACTACCTTCGCAATCATTCTGGAAATCTAAAACTGTTGTCGAATACAAAGTCTGAAAAAAATGATTCACAGCTGCCAGTTTTGCCCAATTACGATTCTATTTTAAGTAACAGTTCCAACTGCTTAAAAATGAGTTTCTTCCCCTGAGAGAGAATGCAGTCCCCGGCAAACTCCATCATTTCTATCATGGCATATTCAGCCTCTTCGAACCATGGCGGGAAAGCACCGGAAGATGCATGCACAACACGAAAATTGGCAGTGCTAAGAAGTTATTCAACCAAGGGTTTCACTGAAAGATAACGCCCCTCTGAAGAGTTTTATGACCCAAATTGCGCTCAAGTCCCCAAAGACCCAAGAAACATCTGGGGTCTAAATGGTTGTTATTTCTACTGGGGGAAAAAAAGTAGTCAGAAAAGTACTCAATATGTATGTTGATTTAAGTAGTCTTTTAAATTTTATTTGCTCTAGTTCTGTTTTTTTTTAATGGGTAGATATGAGTAATAGATAAATATTATGCTGCTGCTGTAAACGGAGTCAGGTGGCTTGGGGTCTGTTTTTGAAATGAAAAACTAGGATTGAATGGCGCCGTGCTACATTCCTGCTCCCTGAACTACCCGTGTGTCTAAAGAGAGCCCAGCTGGCTGTCATGCGAGGCATCACCTGGTGGCAGCTGCCCAAACCTCAAGAACGTATGTCTGGAAAGGTAGTAAAACAGACAGTCTTTCAGTGGCAGCAAATCAGAATTAGGACTCTTTATACCTCAAAAAACTGTCATAATGAAAGTGAAAATCTACCCCAGCCTACTCAAGAAACCAGCACGAGGACAGCAAACCGGAAGCCAAAACCCCGAATGTGATACATTGGACAGCATCTGTGAAAATGTTTCATGTACGTTTGGTGCGAGAATGTGGTATAAAAGGTAAGACAGAATCTGCCCTGAATTTAAGGGGTGAGGGGCTGAGTAAACATCCTCAGGAAGGACAACGAAGGAAAAGAGAGGAGCCAGCTGTAATGACTTAGTACCTACGGGAATGAGATGAGTCGGCTGGGATTCCTCCAGTTTGTTCCTCAGCCAGTCAAAATCCTGGTATCTTCGACGAACAGAATATTCTGGCAGGTCAAACTCTACCCGCGTACTCTGCAAATAAGAAGGGTGGAACAAAGTAAGTCGAAGGGAATAGTACCATGTCTTGGCAGAAAGGAAGGAAAAAAGCTCTCTTTGAAAAACCAAACTGGGCAAGAACACGCTTTCCTTCCACCAAAGCACCAGCCAAAAGGCAGCAATTACCAACACAGAACGAGGAGTCCAGGCCCCCAGGGCCCGGCTCAAAAGTCCACGATCTAGAATGAAAATGTCGAGGCTTTTGTTTTTGTTTCTTTCCCCCTACCCTTAGGAAATGGAACTCCACTATTCCCTCAGAATGTGTTTAGAAACATTTGATTCATTTCCTCCAGGCTTAACTTTGAGGATTTCTTTTAGCAGAATAATTCTGAGGATATTGCTACTGAATCCCAATCCATGTTTTCTGTTAAAAGAAATGAAGTCTCCACCTTCTGCTGAATATGCTGACAAGTTTTATCAAAGGCTGAGGGAAGACAAGCAGACAGAAAGAGCTAAGGGCACACCTGCTCGTTCAAGAGCCAGATTGGATGAAAATAGAAAACGTCTTGTTTCATGTGCCATATTCTGCGAAAACCATAACCTTGGAACTATATTGTATTTTAGATGATTAGAAAAAAAACTAGAAAGGAATGCCAAGATGTCATTGTACTGCAGAAAAATATTCATCTCATCTCTGTTCTTGTTAATTTTTCTGAAATTGCGATTGCAGCACTCTGGTAATGAAAACCAGTGCTAAATAAAATGAAATTAATTTATACCAAAACAAGATTTTTACACGTTAGTTTGCCCAGACTAAAACCATGTCTCAGCTAAAGCATTTTCCCCTATGAGGGTACAGACTATATACCACAGTCATAGCTCTCAGAAATGACAGGTCAAAAATAAAAATGGCTCAAGCTACATTTTATAAATTTACTCTTTCAGGCCGAAAGTCTGTTTTAATCCATGACCCTAAGAAAATCTTAAAAACATATGAACAAGAGTTAGCCATCAAAGAAAAAGCTGGGAACAGCGTTGGCATTGAAAATTATGGGGGTGCCTGGGTGGCGCAGTCGGTTAAGCGTCCGACTTCAGCCAGGTCACGATCTCGCGGTCCGTGAGTTCGAGCCCCGCGTCAGGCCCTGGGCTGATGGCTCGGAGCCTGGAGCCTGTTTCCGATTCTATGTCTCCCTCTCTCTCTGCCCCTCCCCCGTTCATGCTCTGTCTCTCTCTGTCCCAAAAAAAAAAAAAAAAAAAAAAAAAAAAAAAAAAAAAAAAAAGTTGAAAATTATGATTTCACCCTCCCCAAAAGCCGTGCTCACACAGTCCGAGCAAAATTGTGAAATTAAAGGATTCGGTCTTGGACTGAACCCCAATTAACTCTTTCTGTAGCTTCTCCCCTTTCCAAAGTCCCATGCACAACCTTCCCCTATGATGGAGGGTACAGGTGGGAAGAGGTGAGGAAATTCATTCAACCTGAGTGTTTGTGATTTATTAGAAGACTCCCCGAGTGAATCAGCATTGTGGAATTGGGGAGGAAAAAAAAAGAATGCTTGAATTATAAGGAAAAAAAATCACTGCTGATGAATTTTCAGGCATAAATAAGGCTGATGGAAATTTGAAGGGTAGGTAGGCTGACACTCCTTCCAAGGCTGGGTGAGGAAAGGCCTGGGCAGGAGCATTCCTAGCACCTACCAGATTCCTGAGACGCCACTAAGCCTCCCAGAGCCTAGGTTTCCTCAACAGTAAGAAGAGGGTTGGAAGGGACATTCTTCAAATCCCCCACCAGGCTCCATCTGAGGACTTGCCGACGATGGGCCCATAAAAGGTGGATTGTGATGTGTGGCAAATGCAACCTGTTTTCACTGTAAATGCAGTGATGGAGGAGTCTACTTTTTGCCTTCCTAAACGTTACATGTTATCAACCAATCACTTCTCTTTATTATGCTTTTGAAAATCCTCTTCATAAATTGTAGTTTATGTAACGTGTCTAACTTTGAAATCAGTATTTGGTAACTATAAAAAGCAGTATGATAAAACACAAGTTTTGTTTCCGCTGTAAACAAGGTCACTGTCGAGGAACTGGCTTTTTTTTTTCCCCTTCGACTTATTCAGGTTAGACATACTTATTTTAAAACTTCAGGAAAAATAAAAGAAGAAAAAATAAAGATCGGTCATAAACTCTCTTAAATTAAGAGGGAAAAAAAAAACCATGATTAGTATTATGGTTTATATCTTTCCGTATTTTTTCTATGCATATCCATTCATTCACTCATATTTTCTAAGTCTCTAACAATTCTTAGATATCTTTCTGTTAGCAAGTTCAAATCTAAGAATCTCTTAAATTCCTAAAGACAGAATTACTGGAGAAAAGAGTACGTGTAGTTTTAACTGACAAACTGCTTCCAGAAATATATCAACTTATATTCTTAACTGCATATTCTCCTCAACCAGTGGTTGTCTTTAATGGACTTACAACTGAAAAATAGTACATCATCTTTGTTTTCTTTTGTTTGTTTTCTTTTTTTTAACATATATTTATTATTGAGAGACAGAGAGACACAGAGTGTGAGCAGGGGAGGGGCAGAGAGGGGGAGACACAGAATCTGAAGCAGGCTCCAGGCTCTGAGCTGTCAGCACAGAGCCCGACGCGGGGCTCGAACTCACAAACCGTGAGATCATGACCTGAGCTGACGTCAGACGCTCAACCAACTGAGTCACCCAGGTGCCCCTGTTTTCTTTTGTTTTTAATGACTATTGGGGTAGAACATCCTTTGAAATATTTGTTGGCTATAGATTTTCTTTGTGAGGAGTTTCTTTTTTTAAATTGTCAGTCAGGTCTTTTTCACTTGTGTAAGTTCTTTATAGCAAAGGGTTTTTCTGATACAGAATTTTAAAATTCAGCCATTATTTCCCTTTATGGTGGCTACAGTTTGGTGTCATGAATAAGAATGCTGTCCCCATTGCAAGCTTTTAAAAATATTAACCTGTGTTCTCTCCTTTATTTATGGTTTATTTATTTTTGTCTTTAATTCCCACCATTCTACTTCTAGGAATCTACCATTAGAAAATACTTTTTAAACTGTAGCAAAGACATTTGTATAATGATGTTCACTGCAGTACTATTTAAAATAGCAAAGAGGGGCGCCTGGGTGGCGCAGTCGGTTAAGCGTCC